TATATATATATATATATATTTGTGGCAGCGAATTATTACAAAGTGATAAAAGTGATAAGAAACTGATAGAAGGCTTTCATGCATATATATTACTATAGAATATAATTCTGTGAAGAAATTGGAATAGAAATACAAGTTCAAAAAGATGAAAGAATGATAAAATTTCCAATGTAAATGAAAAACTTGTTCAAGTATTTTTACAGCTATGGTTGACTACCCCCACCTTTCTTGTAACCACTGCATGTTTTTGCCATAAACTTTTAGGAGGTGCCCAAGAAAAAGGTTTGAAGACCACTGGTTAATCCACCTCTCAAAAAACTTGTGCATGTAATGGAGAAGAAAAGGAGAGGTAGCTAGAGGAAGGCCTTTATCAAAGGAGATTGCATTTTTTAAGATGGGAAATTTGAGCTTGTGTGTTTGGTATCATTCCTATTTTTCAGAAAAGAGAGGCTCAGAGAAGCTATGAGTGTACTCCAAACAAGGAGCCTCTGGAACAAAATCCAGGTAATACAGTTGACCCTTGAACAACATGGATTTCAACTGTGAGCGTCCACTTATGCATTTTTTAAAAAAGATTTTATTGGGGATTTGGGGGAGGGGAACAGCGTTGGGGAATCGGGGAAGGGTAACAGACAAGTTGCTGTTCTTTTGTTCTTCGGTCTAGTTGTGGAGGACGTCGCTTCACTGGCCCATGTTGGTATTGTGATCATTGCGCTTTTCCCGGGTGAGGCAGATTGGTCACCGGCCACTAGATGGCTGCTCACGGTAGCTTATGGCAGCCCACTGCAGGTTCACTGCAGCCTACGCCATCTCCGGCATCTCACGGCAGCCCAGCTCTAAGTTGAGCTGTTGTTCACTATCTTAGCTGTAGAGGGCAGTGTCACTGGTCCTCATGTGGGATCCAAACCGGGGCCCTGCTGCTCAGAGTTGGCATCCCAAGCCAACACTTAACCAACGCGCCATTCGGCTGGCCCCACTTATGCATTTTTGATCCTGGCAGTCCATGGATACAGAGGGTTGACTGTATTCATTGATCTATACCATTTTATATAGGGCAGTTGAGCATCTGTGGATTGTTGTATCCGAGGGAGTCCTAGAATCAATCCCCCTACCCACGGATACTAAGGGACAACAAAGTTTTGGGGGAGTCCAAAGTTATATGTAAATTTTTTACTGTGCAGAGGTCAGCACCCCTAACCCCTGAGTTGTTCAAGGGTCAACTGTACTTCAGTCAGAGTTGGCTACATTAAGCTGCAGCAACAAGCACCCACTAAATCTCAGTGACCTGAACATATCTCAAGTTTATTGCTCTCCTTGACTACACATCAGTGTGGGTTGGCAGGGGATCTGCTCATCTTCGCCTCTCAAATACTCAGGCCACCAGGTGATGGATTCATCGCCCTAGTCAGGGCAGCCGGCAGAAGGAGATACAATGACTTACTAGTGTTTTTAAGCTGGTGAGAAGTTAACAAGTGTTACTTCTGTGTGTTTCAAGCGGGTCAGAGAAGTGCCAATCCTACCAGGTGTTTAGAAAGGGAAAGAGCCGGAAACTTCAATGAGCAGCACTAATAGGTAAGTTCTATTGACGACTACCTGTCATTTCCAGTATTGGAAACAGCCACACGTTTGTATTATCTGGTACCTACCTTGAGACCAGGTAAGATGGGCGTAAAATAAAATAGAAGGCATTGTTAGTTCATTTCAAAAGATCAGAGAGATAGGCTCTGGTCTCTGCCACTCAGTCATTGCTTTGTAAACCCGAAAGTTTCTTTGTCTCTTTGAGTCTTTGGGGAGGGTTTGTGCTCTTCGAGTTCCAACGTTTTGTCGTAATGAGTTTTGAACCGGAATAAGAGCAGAAGAAGAAAGCAAGCCCAACCAGCACCAGATGTGCTAGCTACAAAAAAAAACACTTTCTAGTATTTTCGTCCCTAAGCCTGTTGTGTAACGTGCTTTCAGCCAGCAGGGAGTAGTAAGGAGATCCCGCATTGTAATAGCGATTTTCTAGTTACTCAGTTTTGCGCATTAGAATCACCTGGGGGAGGTTTTCAAAAATACCTGTGTCTGCCGCTGCACCGCAGGCAATGAAATCAGACTCTCTGGGGGGCGGGGGCCGAACATTGGTATTTTAAAAGAGCTTCCCCGGCAAAACTGTTATTCTTGGGAGCATTTGAGATCTTGCTTCCTGGCAAATGTTGTCGGTTTGGCTCAAATAAACCCTTATAAAAATTCAAAGAAATAAAAAATAAAAGAGCTTCCCAGCTTCGTGCGCTGGGTATTCTTTAACTCCTCCTGATTGTTAGAGGGGCTGGATGACACCTAGTGGGCGCATCCTCTTGAAAGAGTCCTGGAATCGAATTCCTCTTTTTTCGTCCCCCAAAAGTTGTCGGGGTTGCATGTTAACGGGAGGGGTGGGGACATCAAGCTAGAGGAAATCTTTGGGGCATCAGCGGGCTGCTCAAGGCTTGGGACGAGCTGCTTTCCCAGCGCAGGAGGGGGCTGTGGTGAGGGCCAGCTCCAGCCAGAGGGCGCTGCGAGCTGGGCGGTGGAGGCTCTGCAGCGGGACCCGGGAAAGGAAAACAGCCGGGACCGCACCGACTAGAGGAAGGGGCCGCAAAGGAGGAGGGAGAGGAAGAACATGGGAGGAGCCGGAGGCGACGTCGTTGCGGGCGGGCGGTCCCTCTTAAGGAGCGGCTTCCGTTCGGCGGCCTGGTGACGATGGCGGGCCTGGACCTCGGGTTGGCCGTGCCCGTGTGGCTGGCCGAGGACGACCTGGGCTGCATCATCTGCCACGGCCTGCTGGCCTGGCCCGTTACGCTGCCCTGCGGCCACAGCTTCTGCCGAGACTGTTTGAAGGGCCTGTGGGGCACCGGGTCCCAGTGGTCCTGCCCCACTTGCCGCGAGGGCGCCGCGCAGCGGCTGCAGCTGCGGAAGAACACGCTGCTGCAGGACCTGGCGGACAAGTACAGCCGGGCGGTGGGCGAGCTGGAGGGCGGCCCCGGCCCCGCCCCCACCCGGAGCCCCGGCCCCTCCCCGCGACCGCCGCGCCGCACCGAGGAGCAGAGGGTAGGGTAGGCGAGCCCGGGTTCCCCTCTCGCCATCGGCGCTACCTGCCAACGCTTCCTGCACCCTGTTCCCCCATAGGTCTTCCTCCCTCCCTCATCCTTCCTACGTTCACATTACTTTTCTCCATCTGAAAGTAAGGACCCGCTCTTTGGAAAGTTCAGAAAAGTATGAAGAAGCAGGAAAAAATCCACATCTCCCAAAATCCTATTAGTTTAGCTGCTATACACCTTGGCATATTTCCATTTCTTTGCAGTCTTGCTGCTGTCTGTCTCTCTATCATTTTTTTTTCTGTTTTGTTTATTCGTTGTTTATTCTGTTCTTTAGATTCCACATATAAGTGAGACCATGTGGTATTTGTCTTTCTCGGTCTGACTTATTTCACTTAGCTTTATATCCTCTAGGTCCATCCATGTTGTTGTAAATGGTAACATTTCATTCTTTTTTTATGGCAGAGTAATACTCCATTGTATATATGTACCACACTTTCTTTATCCAATCATCTATTGATGGGCATTTTGGGGGTTGTCTGGAATTTTTTTTTTTTTGGTGGTAAAATATATATATATAACAAAATTTGCCATGTTAACCACTATTAAGTGTACAATTTAGTGGCTTTAGTTATATTCACAATGTTGTGCAACCATCATCACTAGCTATTTCCAAAACTTTTTCATCACCACAAACAAAAACTCTGTTACCCAGTAAGCAGTAACTTCTCACTGTCCTTCCTTGCAGCTCTTGCTGCCTCTAATCTTTCTGTCTCTATGAATTTGTCTACTCTAGATGTTTCATATAAGGGGAATCATAGAATATTTGTCTCTTTGTGCCTGGCTTCTTTCGCTTACCATAATGGTTTCAAGCTTTAGTGACATTGCCATGCATTGGAACGTCATTTCTTTCTGTGGCTGAATAATATTCCCTCCCATGAATATACCACATTTTTTATTTATCCATTCATACATCAATGGACGTTTGGATTGTTTCCACCTTTTGATTATTGTGAGTAATGTTGCAGTGAATATTGGTTACAAGTATCCGAGTCCCTATTTTGAATTACTCTGGGTGAATACCTTGGAGTGAATTTGCTGGGTCATAGTGTAATTCTGTGTTTAACCCACTGAGGAACAGCCAAATTGTATTCCACAGCAACTACACCATTTTACATTCCCAACAACAAAGTAGGAGCATTCCAGTTTTCCCCAGCGCTTGCTCCTGGGATTTAGATGGTTTATTGTATCTTTCAACTATAACCTTTTGTCCCAGACTTCTGCTAGTTTAGTTCAGCTTGCAACATTGGCGAGCTGTGCTTACTGCCTTTCTGGCCTGAGTTAGGTAAAACCAAGATGAGCACACTGTGCCATTCCTGTAGGCAGCCCCCGGCCAGGTTAGAACATGCAGGACGCTTTGTGAATAAGGCCTGCTCTGCGCCTTTCACAGCCAGGACCAGGGTCCCTGGAATCTTGAATATTGTCACTGAGGGAGTGGGAAAGGGCAAATGAAAACACCGCAAAACTTTCCTAACGCTCTTTTTTGATTCAGTGTTTTCCAGAGTTCTGACAAAGTTGGTTCTGACAGTTTCTGCTTGTTTGTCAATGCTTCTATGTGCATGTGGGCGGGGAATGAAAGCTCAGAGCTGCCCACTGCATCCTTTTGCTGTTGTCCTCTGCAGTCCTTTTAAACAGAGTTGAGGTCATGTTGTATAGCCAGGTTATATCCTCTTTTTTTAAAAGATTTCATTAATAGACTTTATTTTTTAGAGCAGTTCTAGGTTTACAGAAAATTAAGCAGGTAGTACAGAAAGTCCCCACACACCTCTCATAGTTTCCCCATTATTAATATCTTGCGTAACGGTGTGGTACATTTGTTAAAATTGATGAACCAATAGTAATACATTATTATTTACTAAAATCCATAGTTTACGTTTACATAGAGTTCATTCTTTGCGTTGTACAGTTCTATGGCTTTTGACAAACGCATGAGGTCTTTGTGTCTACAATTATGGCATCATACATACCCTGATGTATTACTGCCCTGAAAATCCCCAGGGCTCCTCCTATTTGAATCCCTCACCCCAAACCCTGGCAACCACTAATCTTATTGCCATGTCTTTAGTTTTGCCTTTTCCAGACTGCCATATGCTTGTAGTTGGAATCATACTGTATTTGGCCTTTTCAGACTGGCTTCTTTCACTAAGTAAAATTAAGGTTTGTGGCTTGATAGCTCATTTCTTTGTATCGCTCAATAGTAGTTCGTGGCATAGACACACCACAGTTTATTCATTCACTTTTTGATGGACATATTGGTTGCTTCTATTTTTTTGCAATTAATGAATAAAGCTTGTTCTTTTAGATTATAAATGCAGCATTGTCCCTCAGGTCCTTACAATTCTTTGTTAATATAGTTTATAGCGACTGGCTATACTTTCTACTGGCTTTTAAATTAAAACGATTGATTGTCTTTGGGTGGTAGGATATTGGATGATTTGAAACATTTTTTTCTTTTCCATTCTCTGCATTTTCTTTTTTTTTTTAAAGATTTTTATTGGGGAATTGGGGGAGGGGAACAGTGCTGGGGAATTGGGGGAAGGGGAACAGACAAGTTGCTGTCGTTTTGT